CTATATATATATACATATATATATATATATATATACATATATATATATATATATATATACATACGTATATATATATACAGAAGCAAGATAAAGAACACAAAAGACAAAGAAACGAAAAAAAAAGAAACAAAGGCAAGAAAAGACACAGCTCTGCCCGTTGTTACTGAAGCCGATTAATATAATAAAATAAAATAAATAAATAAATAAAATAAATATAAATAAATAAATAAATATAAATAAATAAATAAATGTAAATATATATATTTATTTATAAATGTATAACGCCAAGGAGTATGATGAAACACTGCCGTTGCTTGTAGAGCTGCAGCAGCAGCAGCAGCAGCAGCAGCAGCAGCAGGAACAGCAGCAGCAGCAGCAGCAGCAGCAGGAGCATCAGCAACAGCAGCAGCAACAGCAGGAGGAGTAAGCATCTGTATTTATCTCGGTTTTTCTTTTTTGCTGTTGTTTTCTTTTTTTTTATATTTCTAGGGTTTAGGGTTTAGGGTTTAGGGTTTAGGGTGTATAAAGAAAAGACAGAAACCAAAGATACCTAATTAAACAAAATAAATAAAATAAAATAAATAAAACAAAATAAATAAAACAAATAAAATAAATAAAATAAAATAAAATAAAATAAAATAAATAAAAGAAATTAAATAAATAAAAAAACTAAAATAAATAAATAAATAAGTTTTATATTTGTTCTTTTTGTAGGGATTTAAATATAGAGAGGAACAGTTTATGTCTATTAAATAGATAAAATAAAAAAAACAAAATAAATAAAATAAATAAAATGATAAATAAATAGTTTTTATATTTGTTCTTTTTGTAGGGAATGGAATATAGAGAGGAGCAGTTTATGTTTACTAATAAAATAAAATAAATAAAAAAAAACAAATAAAATAAAAATAAAATAAAATAAAAAGTTTTTATATTTGTTCTTTCTGTAGGGAATGGAATATAGACAGGAGCAGTTTATGTTTATTGAGGAGATAAAATAAAAAAAACAAAATAAATAAAATAAATAAAATAAACAAAATAAATAAAATAAAAAGTTTTTATATTTGTTCTTTTTGTAGGGAATGGAATATAGAGAGGAGCAGTTTATGTTTATTAAGGAGATAAAATAAATAAAAAAAAATAAAAAGAAAAAAAAAAACAAAATAAATAAAATAGTTTTTATATTTGTTCTTTTTGTAGGGAATGGAATATAGAGAGAAGCAGTTTATGTTTATTGAGGAGATAAAATAAAAAAAACAAAATAAATAAAATAAATAAAATAAATAAAATAAATAAAATAAAAAGTTTTTATATTTGTTCTTTTTGTAGGGAATGGAATATAGAAAGCAGCAGTTTATGTTTATTAAGGAGATAAAATAAAAAAAACAAAATAAATAAAATAAATAAAATAAACAAAATAAATAAAATAAAAAGTTTTTATATTTGTTCTTTTTGTAGGGAATGGAATATAGAGAGGAGCAGTTTATGTTTATTGAGGAGATAGAGATGAGCAGCTTGTGTATTTTTATATAGTTTATGTGTGGGGTGCTGCGTGTAGGCCCCCAGGGGCCCCAACAAAGAAAAACATTTATTATTTATTTCTGCTGCTGCTGCTGCTGTTTTATAAAGACAAGCTGCTGCTGCTGCAGTGTATAGACACCCCACACCCCTCAAATATATTACACGGTGAAGACAACCACGCATGCACTCTAATTCAGCAGCAAGCTGCAGCACAAACACACAGCAGCAGCAGCAGCAGCAGCAGCAGAAGCAGCAGCAGCAGCAGCAGCAGCAACAGCAGCAGAAGAGGAACAGCAGAAGCAGCAGCAGCAGCAGCAGCAGCAACAGCAGCAGAAGCAGGAACAGCAGCAGCAGCAGCAGCAGGAATAGCAGAAGAAGCAACAGCAGCAGCAGGAACAGCAGAAGCAGCAGCAGCAGCAGCAGCAGCAGCAGCAGCAGCAGCAGCAAGGAGAGAAATATCACGCTGAGCAATCGGATGCATTTGTATGAGCAATAAAATTTATAAATAAATAAATAAAAAAATAAAATAAAATGAATAAAATAAAATAAATATGTAAATAAAAATAAATAAATAAATATATATATAAGGAAAATAAAATAGATAAATACACACAAACAGTAAAATAAATAAATAAACAAAAGTAGAATAAATAAATAAACAAGAACAATAAAATAATTAAATAAATAATGAGAAGGATAAAATAAATAAATGAATAAATAAATAAATAAAAATAATAAAATAAATAAATAAAAATAATAAAATAAATAAAAAATAAAAAAAAAAAAAAATAAATAAATAAAAAATAAATAAACAAATAAT